ACTGTAAGCTGGATCATTAAGATTTCACATTCTTAAGAACTGTGAATCACACCTTTAACTACATACAGACACCCTTCTTAAACCTGTTAAAAACGACCCTAATACTTGCTGTACTGTATTCCATCTGAATCACCTTGCAGAGTTTTTAACAGAGCCTACATTCTATTATTGTTTTTATTAATCTGTTTTTCAAAAATACAACATCTCTGTGTATATTCTAGGATATACTGTATATTATCTCAAGAATCATTGAAGATCAAAATACATTTCACAAAATGTGTCAGCCTGATTTGGTACCGCAATCAGTTGCATTTCTTTTGCAGAAATATTCAAGCGTTCAAGAGAAAAAAGAAACTGCCCACATGGATCATTAAAGTGCATACACAAACAAACACTGTGGCATCTTTGAAAATTCTAAGAAAAGTGTTTTTTATCTGCTTTATCTGGTTCCCAGTAGTACAGTGTGGGCTTTTCGGTGAGGGACAGCTTGAGTATCAGATTTAAAGATTGTGACAGCAGTACCAGCAACTCATGAGCAACTCCTTTTAGAGGGTAGATAAACTCGATGCATGTTCTGTAATCTACTGCAAAGCTCCGGTGATGTTGATGCTTCTTGATAGGATGTAAAAGATACTGAAGATTAGAAGACGGGGGAATAATTAACACAGAGTCTCACTTACACCAGCAAGGCCTGTCCTCTGTATGCACTGGAATTAATGGTAACACACACACACACACACACACACACACACACACACACACACACACACACACACACACACACACACACACACACACACACACACACACACAGGTTATTTGCATCACAGCAGTTTCCTTATTCACACCTACACCACCCAACACCACACAGTCAAGCCCTCCACTTTCTAGTCAGTCCAGCAGGATTTCCAATAAAACCTACTCGTTTTAATTTTAAGATTTTAACACATCATCTCTCATAAAGGGTAAATGCACTGATCCTCATATAATATATTTGATGACTCTAAGGATTTATATCATTGTTAAATTAACAGTTCACCACAAACTCATATAAACATATTTTCCTCTTCTGTTGTCTTCTTATTAATGAAGATGACTTTGTGTTGGAGATATTGACCATTGAAATGTCTACCTTGTCTTAAAAATAATGAAACTAGATGGCACTTAGCTTGTGTTGCTCAAAGCACCATAACAATACTTACAAAAACACAACAGCATATGTTTTTCCAGAAATCCTGACCTCTTTCCTTTAGATAATCCACACAACTTGTGTTGTGGAGAAAAAAACCACTCTCAGTTTTGTATAGGAACATTAATAGAGTCATTCTTGGCTGAATTATAGTTTAGAGATTATCGTGAGTAACCATGAGGTTTCTGGAAAAAGACATTGCTGTTTAGCTTTTAAATGCAAACGTTCTACTATGTATTAAATGGAGAGGAGACCGGGGCTGTTAAAACATGATGGTCTGCGTTTCCTTTCTCACGCATTTCAGTGGTATCGTGTTTGTTTAGAGCAGGTCTCTGCAGGGATGATTCTCCCAGCAGAGAAAGAGCATTGTCTCTCTTATCTCTCACACTCTGTTGTTACTAGATGACCTGCTGGCATCAGCATGTTTGGCATTTAACTGTATCACAAATCACAATATCAAATGTAATACAATTTCCACATTTTTGGAACGCCTTGTGGTTTGTGAAGAAATCAAATACACCCAGTGCTTGATAATTTTTTGCAAGGTAAATATCTTTCCAATGAGATTCCTCAGATATGCATACAATAAGGCCACAAGTACTAGGCACCTCAATGTTACATCCATATGTGATATTTGAACATCTCACTCCAAACCCATGGGAGTTAATGTGCTTCCGGTTTCTGTCTCCCCCCCCCCCAAGATTCTGTCCCTACTCAGACTCAAGAGCATTAGTTAGGTTCAACACTGATGTTGGTGATAAGGTCCACACCAAACCGGGAAAACAATGTCTGTACGGAGCCGGCTTACGGACATTATCATGAAACAGGAAAGTGACACACAGGATATTTTAAAAACATTCTCTTGTCTGAAACCTTCTAGGCGTTCAAAATGAAAAAGTTGTCTTTATATGACCCCACTGCATACACCAAACTATGTATATGTATACTACTGTATTTGAATCACTTTGAGGGATCTGAAAAGACAAAAAAAGGTCAAATCATTCTTAACTCCACATAAAAACTAAGATTTTAGATATTAACTGACATTTAGGATTTCTTATCCCAACTTGTGGCCAATTATGGGGGTATCAAGTATTATGGTATGCTAAGATTAAGATTTCACTTCATTGCAATCAAGAGGTCAAAACCATGTGAACGAAAAAGGCAAAATAATCACTTTAAAAACTACAAAAAGATATACTGGTTGACATTAGGTAAAATAAAATGATTTACTATGGAATTGAGTCACGTATTAACATTTTATTTTTTTAGAACTTGATTTATACATTTATCAAAACACCTCACACGCTTAGGCCTACATGTAAGAAACTATTTGTTGTTGCTTAAAAGCCACACAATGAGACACAGTGGGGCCTTTCACTGACCATTGTTAAGTGAAAGATAAGGTGACATCAAACAGAATGGGCCATTAATACAGTCTCTTTGCACCGATTGGAAGTAAAGCAGCGGGGGGTGAGGAGCTATAAATGTGAACGTAGTGATTCCTGCTACTTCAGTGAGATGAGAATCAACCAGGACACATGTTATAGAAATCATACTGAGACAAGGCATCAACAAACTGAGGTGAGTCACAAGCAGCATGTTTCATGTGGGAAATGCATTAGTGGAGAAAGTATGTGTTTTTTGTTTTTTTAAGTATTCAAGTATGTTTAAGTATGAAAGCAATACCTTATGACAATGAAAACATATTGTTACAGTTAGCCTATAACTGCAAAAAGGTGTATATCAGAGTGCTATGCTCAGTAAAGGGTATTGAGTTTGCCAATTTAAGTAAGAGTAGCAAAATCACACTACTGTATTTTAAGGAAAAGCATGGTTTGCATCATTGTATTGAAGGAGAAGATTTATTTTTGTAATCTTGTAGAGTGAATGTTAAGAGTTTGGGCAATGTTCTCTTAAGATTATGCCTACCAGTGATGAGAAAACATCCTAAATACACATCAAACGTTGTCAAGTTGTGTCTTTAGATTTCTTTTAAATCAAGCAAAAGTAAGCTTTGGATAAAGCCTGCATATTTTAACATAGCAGTAAAGGAAAATCTAAAAAAACTAATGGAATGGGGAAGTTTTATGGCAATATCTGTTAGTTTGAATGGTAACCCTATTCTTGTGTTTAACACCTTAAATCTGTGACAATGCATCCTATTTTCTAAGATGGATAACTACAAATATGTATTCATGTAGCGATCCTTGTTAAATATAATTTTTACATGAATGTAGAGCAGTTAAAGTGGACATAAAGTTCTATAAAATAACAAATCTAGGACATGTGCCTAATTGTACTTACTTGCTATATAGGATTATTATTAAAATATGTACATGTCCAATGTATTTTAAAGTCGTAGTTGATTAAGAAGTAAAACATTTAGACACAATGAGTAAAAAGCCCTTGAAAAATGTAAGTGGAGTTCAAATTTAAAAAAAGAATACGCATCTGCACATTTCCTCTCAAATTGTCTGAATTGTCCGTGTACATCTGCACTATAAACTATAAACTCTTTGATGATGATAACAGGAAAACCACAGAAACACTTTTACCGCCAAAGTTAAGAAGAAGTTAAAATATGTTTTTGAATTTGGTGTGTTTTCGATGTCTAGACACAGAATACACACTCTGTCTGTCTGAGAGGGTGTGTGGGGGGATTTCCAACCAGCAGGGCAGTTATCACTCACACCTGCTTGGATCCCAACCTAACTTTAAAACAATTATCGATATCTATCTACTCTGCAATGACTTAGTTAAAATGCTATGTAATTCATCCATGACTTTAGGAGGGTTCTTGTTTCTCTGCTCCTCTAACACTCTCTTCAGGTAAAATGGCCGGTCATCAATGGTTCAATAATTCAAACTCCGGCTCAATCTCAGTGACTTCAGCCAAGCAGGATCAGGAAAAATGTAAGTAATATAACAATTTCATAAATGGCAACACAGTATTTACCATTCATGAGCTAATATTCATTTCATAAATGGTTTATAACACACTTTTGCAGTTTTAAGCAGATATAAACATTCATATATAACAAGTATAGAACACGTTTTTATTTAAATAAAATATGTCTACAAATTATAATTTATAAAATTCAGTTCATTAATACACTTTTAAATGTTTTCATATTTGCATACAACTACATTGTGCGGAAAAAAAAACATAATTAAACGTGTTTATAATTCCATTAGTTATCTGTTTTGATCAATTCAGGACTTCCTTTGTTTTGGCACTTGGAATTTTTTTGAAAAACAGGTTGTTTTTATGGAATGAAAGTAGTTTTTATTAAGAGATTTGTTTAACCTTTTACAAAAAATATGATTAAAAGCATAATTGCATACACAATTGAGTGAGAGTTGTAAAGAGTGTAAAGAGAAAAACTGAACATATAATACCTAAATAATAGAACTTTCCAGCAATGATTAAGAAAAATACCTCTAGAAAATGTGGTTGTCATTAATGCTTTTACTGGTAATTCAACTGCTTCTATGAATGATAATACATGTGTTTTTTGTTTTTTTAGCTTTACCATGCCTGGGTATCAGACCAAAAGTGATACGTCACCGCTTATGTCCAGTGGTCGGTCTCTCATCACTCTGCTTGCTGCTCCTCGTGACCTGTGTAGCACTCTCTGTATTGCGTAAGTACAAGTTACTGATTTGGCTCTCAAATGAGTAAAGAGCTGGATCCATGACCTGTGAGCCTAGCTTAATTTAAAGACTAAAAGCAGAGGGAAACAGCTTGTATTATGTTATTGCTTAAACCGGCAATACCTAATATTGGCCACATGGAGACAGCAGAAACACGTTTACAAGCATAATGCTAATTCTTAGGCTAGCTAACAGTCCCATATTTCTCACAGCCTACCGTTACAGAGCAACATTATCAATCACATTGTTGTGTCCACTTGACCAACATAAGTCCCAAATGCTCTATCTTTAAGCTCTCTTACCATCTTCTGAGGGAAATATCTGTCTCTTTGGCTGCTAAACATTTTTGCCACTATGTTTATCAGCTCCCTTTGACTCCTGCTGAACATGTAAAGTACAGTGGCTTTTTACAGCTTTTCCCCTGATAACGGCGCAGTATTCACTTTCAAAGGCGTACGCATGCAGGTTATCTATGTAGAAGTATTTGAGTTGTAATGATTCTCTATCTGTACCTTTCAGATAACAATGAGTCAGGCAGCAAGCCAAAATGGAAAAGCCTCCTTTTTGACTACCAGAACATGAGTGACACATATCTCAGCCTAACAGCAGCAAACAAGGACCTGCGAAGAGACAAGGAACTCCTGAAGGAGCAGAGCGCCTGGCTGCACGAACAAACCAAATCCCTCAACAGAACTTCAGCTAATCTGATGTCTGGTAATATCGCTTTGAGTTTGGAAAGCAGCCATTTTAGGGAGCAGATTGTGAATCTAACTTCCACAAATTCACAACAAGCAGAAGAACACTTGCGGTTGGTGCAGTACACATCTGATCTTAAGGGGAATAAACTAAACATGTCTCAAACTATCACACTTCTGATGGACTCCAACACTCAGCAAAAGGAGGAGGGACACCGACTCTTTCAGATGAACAGCCTTCTGAGGGAAGAGCTCACTCAATTAAAGGATAATACTCAAGAAATTCTGGAAATAAACAACAACTTTGAAAGGGAAGTTAAGAATCTGAGTGAGCAGATTGGAGCTTTGATGAACGACGACTGTGAGAAGGCATCAAAAGACAACATGCAGCTCGTGGAGAGATCAACTGAGCTTCAAGAACAAAACCAGAACCTGAGCAGAGTGTTAATGAAAGAAAAGCAGGAAGCTGCAATGCAAGAGGAAACCAGGCAAGACGAGATGGAGCGAATGATGGCGCACATGCATTCAATAAATGAGGCTTTCCACTCCCTAGACCTCTACTGCCCTGTGGCAAATCACGATACAAAAGGTACTTATGAGTTTTATTTTTGTGTTTCTTGGTTTATTTTTCCGTCCGTCGGTCAGAATTATGGAAATAATAGGTTCCCAACTGAGAACACTCTCTTGAACAGCAACTAAAAAAGTCTTCAACATTTTTTGTACACATCTTCTGGCTCAAATTATGTTTCCTCTGCTATTTGTTGTCATGCAAATATTGGAAATGCACTGAAACACACATTGGGACGAATATGTACAATTGACCTTGGTGGAGGTCTACAGTAAATCAGGCTTCTAAACATACATAATATAATAAGTTTTACTTTTTTTCCACAGAACGAATTTGCAAAAAGTGTCAGGAGAGCTGGAGACTGTTTGAGGCCAAGTGCTACTACATCTCCTCCCGCAGGCTCACCTGGAGTTCCAGCAGAGACTGGTGCCAGACACAGGCGGGTGACCTGCTCATCATTAACAGTGAACCAGAACAGGTACAAAAAGAACATGTGACAACAGCAGGACAGTTTTTCAGATATTGTAAATTAACTCATTTCCCCCCCCCCTTTTTAGAGTTTTGTTTCGGAAAGCAGCAAGGCTCTGGAGCCGAGCAGCAGCCGACTGTGGATGGGTCTGACAGACGCAGAGGAGGAGGGGGTGTGGAGATGGGTGGATGGCAGCCTGGTTACTTCAGATGAGCAGTAAGTCAGAGCAAAGGGACACTGGGGTAGCACCTCTGGCAGAAATGCTTCTTTTGATTTTTTTTTCGCACCAGAATTTGCCCTAAACGGTGCTTGCTTCCGCCTATAAGTAATAACAGTGACATTTTCTTTTAAATCAAGGTCTGTAACTATCCAGCTCAAGAACATATTTCTCTCTATTTACATTTTTTAAAACAGTTTTGACTATTAACTACTGCGATTCTATATGTATTTATTCACTGTCCATCCAATATCTTCTAAAAACAGGACAATATTATTTTCCACTATTAAAGTATTTAGTTTTATTTCTACGTCATTAAGTGCATTGCAACAACAATAACAGTTTAAACTATTACTGAAAAAAATACATTAGTAAATAAACAAAATATGTTAGTTGTTGACTTGACAAGCACTGGTAATTAGGTTTAATTTCCTGTTTCCTGCTATTTGAATGAGTTGGATCAACATCGATTGACCAGCAGGAGAATGTAAGCCATTTGGTGTTGTAACTGACTGTAATAGTTTTAAATAAGACAGTGTGAGGATTGTAACATGTCTCCTCCTGCAGGTACTGGCTGAGCAGAGAGGGGCTGGAGACTGAGCCTGATGACTGGAAGCTGGAAGACCCTCTGGGAGAAGACTGTGGACACATGGACATCAGTGAAGACAAACTGCACTCCTGGATGGATGGTTCCTGTAAGACACCTTATAGATGGATCTGTGAAAAGAATGTTTAAAAATCCAAGAACACTTTTGTTTTCTAATTTAAAATGTTTATATGAACGAAAAACAATACTATATCTATTGAACGTACATTCTGCTATGCATACACTGATAGGTGGTAGAATATGTTGTCTTTCAAAAATAAAACAATTATCAGTATCCAGAGTCCAGTTGTACAGTGCTATATTGCAGGAAATAAAGACAGTACTATCTACAAAGAATAGTTTGTATTTGTTATTTTTTTATTTCAGATTTTAGTATGTTAATTTGTGTAACAGGCTATTATCTTTCTTAACTAATAATAAACATCATAAAGTTGCAGCATTCATTTTGAAATATTGATCCTTCAAACAAGCATAAGTGCCTTTTTTGTTTATTTGTTTTCCTTTTGTCAAATTTCAAATCTGTACAATACAATACACAAGTTATATGATATAGTGCAACATTAAAAACTGACTTTTTTGTTGGAAGTAGGTACACGCACAATCGCACAGCACATATTCACCAAATGATATATGCAATATAAAGTTTCCTGAGCTTACATTTCTGTCATTAGTTAATGTTGTTAGCTATGCAGGTATTTGGTCATGACACAAAGTATAGGGTTAATCACTCTAGATAAAACGTTATGGGATCACAAAGGTTTAATACATTTCATCATAATGTCATGAAAATCAATGCGATATTTCTTCACCTCATGGTGGCGCTAAATGCAAATCACTCAATCAGTCAATCACTGCAGAAATTAGGATGAATGTCTGTACAACATTTGAGACAATCTATCTATAAACATTACACTCTGACCTGCTGATGGTGCTGGAGGAAAGGTCTAGGGATTAACAAAACATTTTGGAACGCGCCTCTTGACAAAACATTTTACTAAAAACCAAAATTGTCCCATGGCTAACCATTTGAGTAGTCTATACAATTTGAGTAACTATTCCTGTTTGGTTTTTCTTCTCCTGCATAGTCGACAGCAAAGGAATCGTATTGATCCCACTACAATGACAGTCAAAGTCAACAAGACTGTAATCAAAAGGCATATCACATCTACCGAATAATAGGCATACCAGGGCATCTTATAAGACTCAGTGCGTAAATGTGAAGCTCCTTTATTCCTCATAACAAACTCAATCCAGAAAAGGCCCGTTTCCAGAGGATGCATCGGTTTATCCCGATGGAGAGCCGACAGACGCTTCATGTTATTTCTGTAGGAGGGATTGTGTATAACCTCTTGTATCACTTCCAAAAAGTTCTGACGAGTCAGTTTGGTGGCATCCAACACCTTGGCGGCTCCGCGCGCCTCCATTCTCAAACAGTTCTCAAACTGGTCAAACAGAAGGGGGATGCCTACGATTGGCACTCCATTGTAGATGGACTCGTAGATCCCGTTGGTGCCACCATGAGCCACAAAGGCTTTAATCTTTGGGTGACCCAAGAGGTCGTTCTGGGGCAGCCATTTCATCAGAAGGGTGTTGTTCCCCAAATTGCTGGGGGGCTCACCAGCATGCCTCCATATGACCTTTTGAGGAAGTTGGGCAAAGGCAGCAGCAATTTCAGAAGTGATCTCTACAGGTAAGCCTTGAACCAGCGTACCAAGAGACATCAGGATGAACCCGTGCTCTCCTGAACTTTGAACAAACTCTTCCAGCTCTGTTGGTAAAGGTTTAGCAGGCTGACACTGAAAACCACCAATGTAGGCGATGTTTGGCATGGTGGGTCTGGGGAATTCAAAGACAAAGTCCACCCTCATTAGCCAGATGTCTGCTCCTTGTAGAAGGTGATAGAAGTTCACATCTGGACCGAAGTACCTTTCTACCAGTCTATCATAGTGAGGGCACACTATTAACTTGTCAATGCATGTGTTGAAAACATAATAGAATATGTTCTTGAGCCTTTCTCCAAAGTTCATCTTATCCGATATGGCATTTCCTGAAGTTGGAACATAGGATGTTGGAGATGGTGCCACCACAAAATGGCCTTCTCCACTCGTGATCCATCTCACGTTAAAAACTGTTGGCAGCTTCAGTTCATGAGCCACCAGAACTCCAGCAGGCAAACCCGGGTCGATGAGAACCACGTCAAATTGAGTGTCACGTATACTCTGCATTAGAGTTTTGTTCTCAAACATTTCTACCGTCAACTGGCTGGCCTGTTTGTGAATGTTCGACAGTGCACCAAGCATTTCCCAGTAGAACTTCACAAAGGTGATTAGAGATGCCCCCTCTTTTTGAATTGTTAGCATCTTGAACAGGAAGGTTACAAAGAAGTCCTGCTCCTCTATGTCGATGGTTTCTGGTAAGGTGACAGTGATGGAGCTATAATGAGGAGAGTCTTCTTTGACGTACCAGCTAGAGGCTGTTCGGACAATAGTGATCTCATGGCCTCTGGCATGGAGGCCCTGGATCAGGAGTTTCATGTTGACCCAGTGGCTGCCGTCCACCGGGAACACCAGAATCTTTCCTCCATGGACGCTGGGGCTGGACAGGAGGGACAGACTCACCACCAGAAGCAGAAGGGAAACACCTGGGACGCTCTCCATGGATCAACCCTAAAGGAAAGAACAAACATTCAATATTTGTGTATAACACTTTTATGAAATGTTTCTTACATCATTGTCTGATGTGGAATGGCGAATGGGTTAGTTAAAATGTGTTTATGTAAAAAATGTGTTCTATTGTTGATAGCCATTAACTTAGTTGTGGTGTATTTGATTGTTTCCAAGTCCTTTTCAAATGTCTTTCTTAGAAACTACTAATAATGTCTTCCAATTTTGTAACTTCTAGTAAATGAATGCCCAAAATGTGTTCTAGTCAAAACTATTCTTAAGGGTGTTTAGACCTCTAAAAGGGTGTTAATATTGGACATGTAAATAATGTATGTTGTTTATCATTTGCTACTTTTCCACCAGCAACTGATGTTGACATTGTTTCATACTTAAAGGACATCAAGGTGTCACACTTGATGTGTTAATCATCTCTATTGAAGCATGTCCCACTAATTCAATCAGGTGGAAATCACAACAAACACTGACATCCCTCTACTGCACTGAGTCAACTATGTTCTGCAGAGGGTTTTATATTCTATTAAACATTGGCGTTACAATACAGTCAAGCAACTATTGATTAACAAGTTCAAATGTATACAATTGTGGATTTTCTCGCATATAAAAATGCAAATTGTATAGTATAGTATTATAGTATTTTAAGGTGAAACCAGAAGTAAATGACTGTTTGTATAACCACAGCCTGTACTAAAAGAACACCCTGAAATGTTCAAAGTCCAGAGGAATGAACTAAGGCTAACTGAAGCCTGCTGCTACTATGGTCTCTAATCTCATCCTCTGCACACAGCTGGGACTTACTACAAGGCAGAAACACTCTCTATTCATAGCATTCAGAAGAAAAAATGCCCTGATGTGTCTAGCTTTCTTTCTGCATGTCTATTGTTGAGAAAGTTAAAAGGGCAACCTAACATTGTGCACTTTCTCCTGCAGATCAACCCCAATCCTGCACAAGTTATTCTCAGCAGTGTCAAGTAAGTATCTTCTTTTCAGTCAAGGCATTCTTTAAATGTTTTGTAGATAGAGAAAAAGTGTTAAAACTTACCTTTAATCCCTGAAATAGTGTAGAAATGTTTTCCTCCGGATAAGTAAAGGCCAGCGTCTGCATGGAAAATAATCCAAACTCCAAACCCGATTAATGTGTTACATAAAGAGAAGAGGGTGTTGGGGGAGGGGGGAGCAACACATGGACTTCAGGATGTGAGTATTTTGGAGGGGAGGAAAGGCAAAGTTTTCCTACAAAGCCCACCCTCTTTTTCTGGGCTGCATACAGACTCAAGGGAAAGTAAGACAATACTTTATCAAAACAGTCTTTTGGTGACCTGCTGTGACCTACACAATGAGCTCATTTTAAAAGGACCCAACATCCTTGAGTGCTTTATATTTGTTCTAGTATGTTGACTTAATTAAATAAATGTAGGTTTTTTTTGTGTTTTCCTGTGGGAGCAGCACATGAGCTGTAAACACATTAGCACCATATAAAGTTGTATCATGGCTAACCCTAAATAACCCTGGCCTTTATCTACAAAAGTCCCTAAAAGATACAAATACCAACCAGGAAGAAACTCAAAATGAAACATAAAGTAACTATAGGTTACTTACGTAACCCCAGTTCTCAGAGCAACATGAAGTGAGATGTCTCACTAGGGGATGCGCCTCAACGCGTATGCAAACAGAAGCATCAATCTCATTACGCCAATCCTGATTGGCTGGTGATCTTGACGTCTACATCAGGGAATCCACCCACCCTTTAAGTAGCTTGCGCTACGTCGCAGCGTCATTCAAAATAAGCACCTCTTCTCGCTTCGCCTTAGCAAGAAGGGCCGTCTGGTGAGACATCTCACTTCATGTTACTCTGAGAGCTGGGGTTACGTAAGTAACCTATAGTTCTCATTCATAACACTCCGTTTGATGTCTCACTATGGGATATTGAAACTCCCGTATTGCTAGACATGCTTATCTCGAAAATCACCAAAACAACCAGAACTTAACAGGTAGAACCCTGTCTCAACATGGGGCCCAGCACTGCGCGGGCCACACTTGGAGCAGAGACATCTAGCCTGTAAAAGCGGACAAAAGTGAGCGGTGAGGACCAGCTCGCTGCTGCACAAATGTCTTGGATGGAAACACCCTTGAACAAAGCCAGTCCACGAGTAGAATGAGCATGCAGGCCCGTTGGTGCCTGCAAACCCTGACTCGTATAAGCCAGAGCAATCGCTTCCACAATCCAGTGGGAGAGCCGTTGCCTGGTAACGGGCTTGCCCT